AGCCTGCACCCGCCCTACTTCAACCTGGCCGAGGGCGCCCGCATCGCCGCCTCGGCCACCTGCGGCGAGGAGGCCCCGGCGCGCGGCGCCCCGCGCCCCACCGAGGACCTCTACTGCAAGCTGGTGGGCGGCCCTGTGGCGGGCGGGGACCCCAACCAGACCATCCAGGTGAGCGCGGGCCGGGGCTGGGTGGCCGCGGGGCGGGCGGGGTGGCGAGGACGCCGTCGCGGGGATGCGGGCGCCGGGGACGGACTTGGCTGGGAGCGCCCAGGTACGGAGCGAAGCCCGCGCGATCCGTCCCGTCGTCCTAGTCCCGCATTTCGGGAAACGGAAGGGACCCCAGCCCGGCCTTCAGGCTCCGCCAGAGAAGTGCGCGTCCCGGGCGACGGTGGCAGGGCGGGCGGGGGGCTGGTGCCCAGTCCCTGGCGGCCCCGAGTCCCGGGATCCCGGCGAGGGCGGGACTTGGCTTCCACCGCCGCTGAGGGGAGGGGGCGGACCCGCTCTGCCTTTCCCAGGGACAGGCTGGAACCTGCCGGCGCGGATGGGACTGGGTTCCTAGAGTTTGGGGCCAGACACTGGAGGCTCTCACTGCCCGTAGCAGAAGCTTGAAGTCGTTCCCTCTGGGGATCTGGGTATATGGTGGGACCCTCAAGGGGTGTGTGTGTGTATGTGGAGGGCAAACAATGGTATTTTTAACTGGAGTTGGGAACACAGATGCAAATCCTGGACCGCCTCTCTGCCCCGCAGGTGGTGGGTCTGTCGGCGTCAGTCTCCCTGAGGAGATGGGGTTTCAACCCCCAGGACCTTCCGGAGGCAGGCCCACCAAGCCATGAGTCTGTGGGTGGGGAACGGGTCCAGTGGCACCAACTGGCATGGACACTTGACCACGAAGGCAGGGCTGCGAAGACCACCAGCCCGAGCACACAGGCTGGCAGGATCCTGTGAGGTCGCTTGGCCACCCTTGGAGGGGGATAGGGTCTGCTCCAGGGACTCCTTGACGCCCCATAGTAGGCTGGTCTTCCTACCCCTGCTGAACCTTAGGGAGAGTGGGGGCCCCAAGGCGGTTGTAACCTGAGTCACCACAGTCCTGGTGGAAGAGGCAGGGGGAGGGGAGGGCGGCAGTTAGAGGTGGATTAGCCCCGGTGGGTGATGAACGGAGGAGCCTCAGGTGGGCTCCCCCAGCACCTTCTCCACCTGCAGAAAGAGGCAGATATGGGGGGGGCAGTATAAGGGGAGAAAAACCAAACACACTGCCCTAGGCCCTCCCCCGAAGGGAGGAGCTGAGAGGGGCACTGGTGCTGCGGAACCATCCTGCCCTGGAAGCTCACCTCCCTTGGGCTTCTGGGCTCACCCGTGTGCTCTCCCCTGTGCCCAGCACCGCTGACAGAAAGGGTGTCAAGCCCATGTTTCAGATAGGGAAACTGAGGCCCGAGAGCTGTACTGTGGACACCTGCTGAAAGCCCCACAGCCAGGCTGGGATCTGGCGCGGTCGAGCAGTGAGAACCCGGCCCTGCCACAGGCCCTTGGCACATCTGGTTGATGTGCCAAGGGGCTGGGTGGCAGGAAGGAGCTTGTGTGGGGGTGGCCAGAGCTGCCCCAGAGCTGTCCCAGAGGGCCCGGCTGAGTACTCGATGCCCCTGTTCCCGGTGCGTCGGGGCCCCCCCCCAGAAGTCCTCAAAGCTACCCGATCCCTGGTCTTTGTTGCTCCCTTACTGTGCTTAAAGGAGCCGTCTGGGGGCCCGGGGCAGAGCCCCTTTCCTCTGCTCCGTAGCGGTGCGCTTTCTCTCCCTGGGCCTCAGGCTCCTCGTCTGCAAAATGGGCATGAGAGCCGCTTCACCTGAGGTTGGGAGCATGGCCTGAGGAGCCTGGGAAGCCATCGGTTACGTAGCGAGGCCGACACACATGGTGTCACATGGGAGGGAGCCGACCTGAGTGAGCCCTGGCGGCCCTGCCCCCACAGCTCGGACCCCACAGGGTCTGGCAAGAGAGAGGCGGAAGCTTCCCTTTGAGGGTCTGGAGCACCCCTGGTCTGAGGCTGCCGGTGTGCTAGGAAGCCCCTTGGCCCAAGGGAGGCAAGCTGCACAGCCGTGTGGCCTTGGCTGAATCCCTGGCCCGGCCAGTGCCTCTGTCCTCTCTAGCTGCCCTGGCCTTCGAATGGGCTGGTGAGGGGGCCTTGCCTATAGGCCCCGGCTGGAGCCGAGCTGCTGGGGGCAGGAGGTGCCAGGCAGGTGATGCCCACCTTCTCTCTGTCCTAAGAGCTCAGTCTTGGGCTAGCATGGGCGTTGGGTCGCGGGATGTGGGGCCCGAGCCTGGGGGCTGGCAGCTCCCAGGGCCCCTGGAGGAGACAGACGAGGCCCGCTGGTGTCTGGGCAAGGTGGGCCTGGAGGCAGCTGGAGCAGGCAGAGGGCAATGGGGGCGTTCCAGCCCTGTGGCCTCAGGTGGGCATTGCAGGAATTCCGGGTTGGCCCTGGGCCCCGCAGGGGAAGTCGGGGGCTCAGCTGCCGGCATGGTGACTCACGGGGAGGGGACGTCCTTATTGTTGCTCCCTATTTCCTCACTCTGTTCCTGGCAGGACCCTCTGCAGTAGAGGGTGGAGGGAGCCTGGTTTCCCCAGCATTGTACACTGTGAGCCAAAGCCAGGCAGACAGGCCGGCCAGGAGGCCCACATCACCGAGAGGCGTCCTCTGTAGCCTTTTGTGGGGACTAGAGTCACCTCTGACTCTCTGGGTGGGCCTGAGCAGAAACTTTCCTGGGCCCCCTTGACCCAGCTTCCTCCTGGGCTTGCGGGCGGTGGGGGGGAGGGGGGTGCGTCTGACCACAGGCAGCCTTTTTTGGAAGGCCCACACCAACTCAGCCAGGTGGCCCTGCCCACCTCCTCTAAGAAGGCCCCCTACCACCCTCGGCCCTGCCAGGCCTCTGATGCCTTACACCTATGTTTGTGGTGCTTTCAGTGATCCCTTGGGCCCCCTCCTCTGTTTACCCACTGGGAGCTCCCACCGGCCCTGGGAGCCAGAGCCCTGGCTTCTAGTTTGGGGGTCCCCATTTGAGCTAGGCGGTAGAACTTTTCTGAGTGTCCCCTACTGCTCCAGTCCCTGGGTATGGCAGCCCTGGGGGTGGGCTCAGAGGCACAGTACAGAGTGAAGCAGTTGGTGTTGTGTCGTGTCCGTCCGCCCCCCCCTCCCCCGCCGAGCTCTGGGGCCCTGGGCGGGGTCAGTAAATAGAAGATCACTAGTAGCCGGAGAATTTCAGGTCTCTGTGATAGGATAAAGAAAGCAGGGCAATGCATGCACGGGGATCAGCAGGTTAGCTGCTTGGGTGGTCTGGAGCTCCGGGGCCCCTGCAGAGGAGGTGACATGTGAGCTGAGACAGGACAAGAGATGAGAGCCAGGGCCCACTGGCCAGAACAAGGTCTGAGACAGGGCGGCCCGGAGCACCTAGCACAAGGGGTCCCGGGAGCCTGCTGGGTGGGAGGCGGGGTGTGCAGGTCCGGTGCATTGGGTCCCACCAGCCCGAGCACACAGCAGGAGCGTGGGGCAGAGCCCCGTTTGTGAGGCTTGGGGGCTCTCCGTGGCTGCCAGGCCTGGGAGTGGGGGAGCAAGGGATCTCCCACGCTCCCACCTCCAACTCCTAGGACAAGGTCTGGCCCCCTGGGAGGTTGGGAGGGGTGGGGCAGCCACATTTCCCAGACACAGCCTCTGGGGCCTCAGTCGATGCCAAGTCCCAGAGGGCTGCCTTTGTGTGCCGAGGGATGGCAGGTCTGGTTTCCTCCGGGGTGGGGGTTGGGCCTGCCCTCAGCCAGCGGCCAGCACCCAGCTCTGCCCCCCCGCCCCCCATGCCCCCAGCACCTGCTCCTCCCTGACAGGGACGCCTCTGTGCCCCCAAAGGACAGGCCCCTAGCAGGTGGCTGGACCGGGACAGAAGCAGCTGCCAGGCCCCACGTGGGATCCGTTAATCTTGCCGTGGCCAAGGCAGGTGCCATCCCCACTCCTCGGATGGGGACACTGAGGCTCATGGTGCCGTGACTTGGCCTGGTCCCAGGGCTCGGAAGCGGCAGAGCCAGGAGGTCCAGGCCTCGCCTTGCGTCTGCCCACACACCTCCACTCTGGGGCCTCTCCCCGCAGGCCCCTGGAATGGCTTAATTCCTTCCGTCTCTCTGGAGACCCTAATCCAGGCTCTGGGTGAGAGCCTGACAGGAGGGTTGTGCGTGAGGGGCCAGAGGAGCTGGGGAGGCGGTTTGGCCTCCTGGACCCCTCCCTGCCCCCTCCCCGCCCTGATGCTCCTGGGCCTTCCTTCCGGGGACTGTGACTCCCCCCTAGACCGGCTCTCTTTCCCCCTCGGCTCCAGCTCCATTGGACTTTGTGTCCCGTGCTGCCCGCTTCCTCCTGGCCCCAGGCCCCGCGTGGGTCACCCCTCTGTCTGGAGCGCACCCCCCACTTGCAGTGTAGGCCTCAGCACCTCCTCAGGGAGGCCCACAGGGATTTTCCCACCTAAAGAGGGTGCCCTTCTTCCCCGCTCTCCTGTTTCCTCCGTGAGGGCTGTGACCGTCTCTCCCGGGAGCCCAGCACGCAGTAAGCACTCAGCAGGGGCTTGCCGAGCGCAGGGGGATGGCAGGTGAGGGTGGCCGGTTGGGGGTGTGCAGGGCGGGAGGGTGACCGAGGGCGGGGCGCCAGCCCCCCGGGCCGCCTGACCGCGCCCTCCCCCACAGGGCCAGTATTGCGACATCTGCTCGGCCGCCAGCAGCAACAGGGCGCACCCCGTGAGCAACGCCATCGACGGCACGGAGCGCTGGTGGCAGAGCCCGCCGCTGTCCCGGGGACCGGAGTACAACGAGGTCAACGTCACCCTGGACCTGGGCCAGGTAGGTGGTCTGCAGCGGTGGGGCCCGGAGGGAGCTGCGGGTGGGGGCCCGGCGCGGACAGAGGCGTGGCGTGGGCACCTTCTGCGTGTTCCCTCGGCACCCCTGCGGCGGCAGGGGGACAGGAGGACGGGAGGGGGCTTCCCAGAGGCCACAGTCAGGGCCAGGGGACAGCTTGGAGGCCGGCCCAGATGCTGGGAGGCCCTGGTGTTTACTTGGAGGAATTCCTTCGCCTGGAGCCTGGCGCTGCCTGGCGGCTGTGGGAGGGGCCCGGACGGTGGGGGAGGCTGGGGGAGGCCCTGGGGTGCACATTCCCGGCATACCTGTGCTGTGGAGGCTGCCTTGGGGTCAGGGGCGCCTGCTCAGGCCACAGCTCTGGGCTCTCCTTGGCCTTTGAAGCCCCGGCGCAGGGGGCAGGGCCGCAGGCATTTCTCAGTGACCGATGAGCCCCGCCTGTGGGATCTGGGTGGGGTCGGGCTCCCATAGGCTCTGTCCTGCTCCGTGGGGGACTTTGCCAGGCCTTGGTGACCCGCCTGTGAGAAGGGCCAGCAGTCCTGTTGCCCCTGGGGCTGTGGTGGGGGCAGGTGGGGGGGGCTGAGCCTGCAAGCGACCAACCCTGGGCCCGCTTGGGGTCCCGGCTACAAGGTGGATCCTGCCGGAACCCTACCTGTTCACGGTGGCTGTCTTGCCACCGTCCTGGGGTGTGACCTGGTGGGTGTCTGCTCCTTGCCGAACCCCATCCCGCTGTCACCCTGACGATGTTAGAGAGGTGGGGAAGTGGCTGGAAGGGCAGGCCCCGGGGGCAGAGTTGGGGTGCTCTGTTGGGGTTCCTCCCGCCCCCAGCCTGGAGGCCTGCAGGCCTGGCCCAGGGGGAGGTGGGCAGTGAGGGGAGTGGGTTCAGGTCCCAAACGGCCACATTAGCTGTTGTGCCCTAGGGAGAAGTAGCCACGTGCAGGGGGAAGGAGCTGGGCTGGGGGCAGGGTGGACTGGGGAGGGGGCTCCCCCAAATGGGCTCCCTGCCTCGGGGTCCCCTGGGCCGCTCCACTTCCCTTCAGCTCACTGGGTTCTGATCACATCTGCGCTCTCCTGTCCCCTGGAGGGAGTCTGGGAGGGACATCAGAAGCCCGGGGGGGGGCCCGTGGGAGGGACCTTGTGCTGAGCTGGAGGGTTCTTTCTGCCTCCCCTCCTCCTGCATGGGACAGACCTGGGGGGGAGGGCCCCTAGCGGGTGCACCCTGACACTGTCTCCATGGCAACGCCAGGGTGGCCGCAGAGCAGGGGGGCACGAGGTTCCCCCCGGGGTGCAGTGAGTGGGGCTGAGGAGGGGCTCGGACAGCGCCCCGCCCCACACCCCACAGCTCTGCCCGCGTGGGGCTCTGTGGCCCCTGGGCTCCACATTGTGAAACGGGCCAGAGTTGAGGCAGCTGGCAGTACATTTGTTTTGTGCACTGGTGGTTCCAGGCCAGTGAGAGGGTGTCACTGCATATCCTGACTCTCCAAGCCTCAGTTTCCCCAACTGTGAAATGACAGAGGGGACACGGGTCCTTTCCAGCTGTGTTTGCAGGGACAGAGACTCACCCATCCACAGAGCGGTACTCCTCTCTCTCCCCCCGCCACCCTTCCTCCCTTTTTTCCACCCACCCACCCTCCCTCTGACCCACCGCGATCCACCCACCCCTTCCCCCTCCCTCCCCTCTACTGCCGGTGGGTGAATCCGCCCAAGCCCCAGTCTTGGTCTGACCGAGGGGCTGCCAGCTTGGATGGGGTGGGGGAGGGGAGGACACGGACTGCCCACTACTGGGCAGCGCACATGGACCTGGTTTCTGGCTTTTATTTATTTTTTTCTTTTTAAGATACTATTTATTTATTTATTTGACAAAGAGAGACACAGCGAGAGAGGGAACACAAGCAGGGGGAGGGGCAGAGGGAGAAGCAGGCTTCCCGCCGCGCAGAGAGCGCAGGGAGCCCGATGCGGGGCTCGACCCCAGGACCCTGGGACCATGACCTGGGCCGAAGGCAGACGCTTACCGACTGAGCCACCCAGGCGCCCCACCGGTTTCTAGCTTTATGGGTGAGAGAAATCTCTTTCTTGGGCATGTTTCCCCGCGGAGATGGAATCCCAGAGGAAATTCCCACGTTCACCACCACTCTCTTGGAAACGGAGCTCATTCCTCCCTGAGCCACAGAGCGGCAACTGGGTCCCGTGGACGGGTGCCCCTGCTTCCTCAGGTTGGGGGTGGAGGCCAGGCCTTGCCATTGGTGCCCCGTTGGGGAGCCCCACGTAGGGTAGAAGGAGTACCCGTGAGGGTTCTGGAGGGTAGAGGCTGCAGGGGCTGCAGCACCAGGGACGTGTCTGGGGGCCTAGAACGTGGCCCTCGCAGTGACCTGGGGTCTGAGCCCTTTTTTTTTTTTTAAAGATTTTATTTATTTATTTGACAGAGAGACACAGCGAGAGAGGGAACACAAGCAGGGGGAGTGGGAGAGGGAGAAGCAGGCCTCCCGCCGAGCAGGGAGCCTGATGCGGGGCTCGATCCCAGGACCCCGGGATCACGACCTGAGCCGAAGGCAGACGCTTAACGACTGAGCCACCCAGACGTCCCTGGGGCTCCCCTGGGGAGCCCTTAAGAGCTCCTTGTCTGGGGAGGTCCTGAGGATGTCCCCAGGGCAGGACGCTCTGAGCCCACTCTCTGGCGCAGATGGGGTGACAGGCTGAACCAGAGCAGCCTGGCCAAGCTAGCCCAAGGGGTCCTGGCTGCGTACCGGGTTTTCCCACTTTGGGACTCGGCAGTCCTTGGCGGCCTGGGCCCTGGGGTGGGGCTGGGCTTCCGCAAGGAAGCCAGGCTGAGCGGGCCGCGGGTCTGGGCACACCCCCTGTGGCGGGCTGTCAGCAGCCTTTGTTCTGGGACCTGGAGCGGATACCCTGGGAAGGGGGAGGAGGCGGCTGGCACTGGGCATCAGGAGGCCTTCCTGCCCCCGGGAGAACTGAGAAAGAGGGCAGGTGGGCTGCATGCCTGGTGGCGGGGCACGGAGCTGATGGGGCATGATCCCTGCGGTGTCCGTCTGTCTGGGGGCATGGGAGCCCCACGGGGCTTCCGTGAGCCTGCTCCCTCTTGCCCTGAGTCACCTCTCATCCCCTGGTGGTCTTTCCCATCTTGCAGTAGGCAGGGGACAGTGGGATCCTCTTCCTTCCCATTTGGCAGATGGAGAAAGTGAGGTTCCATGAATAAAGTCCTGGCTGGGAAGGGCACGGGGAGGCCCAAGCCTTGGCTCCCTGTCCTGCTTGCATGGTGGACCTTGGCCTCCGGGAACCCTCAGACCTGAGAGAACCAAGCTGTTGGTCTGACATTGCTGGGCACAAGCCTCAGAAGCGGGTCTCCTCTGGAGGGATGCAGGAGGGCTCCCCCGCTGGTGGTTTCCCGAGTCCCAGTGGCCTGCCTGGGGGTCCTCCCGGCCTCCCGCCAGCCTGAGGCTCCCCCTTCCCTGTGCCCAGTGCAGTGTGGGTATTGTTTCTGACAGCCCGGCTCAGGCTGCACCGCAGGGTAGGTGCTGGCTCAGGTGTCCTGCCCCCACTGGGGGCTCTGCCGTGGGGTCTCAAGGAGCTAGGCAGAGATAGCTGGGGCTTGCTGTGGGGAGAGACCCCTCCCTTTCCAGACAGCCCTCTGGGGCCTGCCATGGAGGGGAGACTCCCCCCAGCAAACCCCTCCCTTTCCTGCCCACTGCAGCCACACTGCCCAGATCTGGCTTCAGGTGGGGAACACTGACCCCTCCCAGCTGTGTTCTTACCTGTGATGGGGCAGGTCGGCCCATGTCTCAGCCCTGCGAGGCCACGAGGAAGGGTATGGTGGTGCAGAGGGGGGCCAGGGGCCAGCGTTGGGGTATAGGCTGGGGTGGTTGGGTGTGAGGCCAAAAGCGTTGAGGACTAGAAATGCCAGGGTCCAGAGGCTGTGCCCTCCCTGGGGGACAGTGGGGGACAGGGAGGACACCAGCTGCCACCACCCACCAGACAGGGGAACAGAGGAGCAAAGCTTTGGCACAGCTACTGACCATTGGCGGTGAACCCTACCTGGGCACTTGGGGAAGCTGAGCCAGTGTGGTGCTGGTCTCCAGAGGAGATGCTGGGCTTGGTCACAGCCCGGCCATATGGGCTGTGCCCCCTGGACTGTTTCGTCTCTGACTGTGGGGAGGAGAGCTCCTGCGTGTGGGCCTTGTGCCTCGGCAAGGGCCCCAGAACACACTGGCTGCTTCAGCTGTTCGGGTCCCCGGCAGCTCTGCCCTGCCCGCCCCAGGTCTGGGCAGCTTGCCCTCAGAGGCCAGCCAGCTCAGGGCTCCCTGGGCAGGCCCCCTGCTCCCACTGGCCCGGCTTGCTGGCCCGGCTGGGCGCTTGGCCATGTGGCCAGCACCCTGGGGGCGTCAGCGGGGTTGTTCAGGGGAAATGGCAGGAAGTATGGCCAAGGCTGGCCAGGCTCTGGCTATGGAGCCCCACAGCCAGGACAGGTGCGGGGGCTGGACCGGACATGGGCTCCCTGGGGGAGGACACTGGGGGGTCCTGGTGGCATCCCTGGGGTAGACGCCCCCTTCTCCAGTATGGGCCACGCCTTTCCTCATGAGAATGAGCAGGACCCTTTGCTCAGAGGACATGGGGCCAGAGGGGCCGCCCACGCTCAGGCCTGGGGGCCATTTGTCGCCAACCCTGTGCATCTCATCGCTGATCCGCTTGCCCGCAGCTGTCCTGGCACGCTCATCTCTACTCACACTGGACACACGCACCTCCCCGCCACCTCCTATGTCCCCCCCACCCCAGACCCTGGCGGCCCCCAAAGCCTCCTGTTCTCTGTGTTTAAACAAACCCCACGCGTTGGTCTCCAGCAATACCACTCACCAAGACTAAACTGTTTAGTTTGGGGGCTCCCCCGGGGATAAACTCTACTTCCTGAGGCCCACGGTTGACCATCTGGCCTGACCCGGGCCAGGCTTCAGGGAGGAGGGGACGCGGCAGGGAGCTCTGGGCCGGGGACCCGAGACAGCCCCTGGCGGTGGGGGTCTTGGAATAGCCACAGGCCCAGCGCTGGCGCGGTGCTGAGCCATGCGGGACATTCGCCCTCCGCTCTCGCTGGTGGGGTCCTGCACACCTGTCAGGGGTCCTCCCACCCCCCATTCCCCGAAGGTCTCCCCCACTGCTCTGCACACCTGTGCGGCAGGTGTCCCGACCGGCAGAGCGCTGAAGCCGCCCTGCATCCTCTGCGTGTCCGTGTTCTGCTCTCCTGGGGCCGTGGCTTTCCACGCCCTGCCCCTCCTGGCTCTGTTTTCAGGCTCCTGATCCTGTTGTGTGGACGTCCATGCTTATTTACCCAGCTGGGGGCTCGAGGAGACACGCCTGCCCTGGCCCGCCGGCCCTGCTCTGCCATCTGTCCTCACTGTTATCTGTGTTTCCTGATGGGGTCTCTGCTGGGAGGGTGGGCAGGCTGGGGGTGCGGGGCCCTGAGGGTGGGCTCTGGCAGTCTGGGGTGGGGGGGATCCAGGAGGTCTGGGTGCCCCAGTGCTCACTCCAAGGGGAACCCGGACGCCTGGTCTAGGAGGGGCTTCCTGCCTCCGCCCGGCCACAGCCTGGGACCCTGGCCCATCCCGGGAATCGGCATGGGGCCTTGCTTCCTGTGGGGCCAGGGCTGAGTCACAGACTGCCCGGTGATTCACGCCGCCCAGCCCAGCGGATGGGGGGGCGGGCAGGCTCCCTCCCTTCCCCCACTGCCCCCGGGACAGGGGCACGAGGGCTGGCCTGGGTCTTCCCGGCCCCGAGATCGGCTGGGGCAGGGGCGGGGTGTGCCAGCCACGGCCCTCCCTTGGTGATGTGGGTGCCTCAGCCCAAGAGGTTGCTGACCAGCTCTCCCCCCCGCCCCCCTTCCCATCCCTGGGGGCCCCAGAGACCCCCGCTGGGGTCTGTGGGAGTAATGTGTTTCTTTAGCTCTCCGTGTGTCGTCCAGACCCCAGCCCTGCGTGCACACACACACTCCACCCCCACCCCTGCAGCTTCCCTGCCAGGGGGCTGCTAACTCCTGCTTGCCCATCTCCAGGGGTAGGTGGTGTCTGCCTGCTTCGGGCTCTTGAGAGGCACTGTGTCCCGGCCCACACCTCTGCTGTGTTTGTCTTCCTACTGCCCCACGTCCCAGGAGGGGAAGCGACAGCCGGGGCCACACAGCCACTGAAGCCTGGAACCCACCCCGGGCCTCCTGCCCTGGCCCCGGCCCCCCTCAGGCAGTGGTCACCGGGGCATGTCCCCCCCTGGGGAGCCCTGACCCTCTGTGCTCAGGCTGGGCGTGGGGGCCGGGGGGGCGGGGGCCGAGAGGCAGGTCCGGCTGCTGTGCTGGAGACGTGCCTGCCCCCAAAATAGCCAGATTTTTAAAAATAACTCGGGAGGCTTTTGTTTGGCTTTTGCTTTAAAAGACATTTTTTTCCTTTTGCACAGAACTTTGTAGCAGCGGGAAAGGTCAGCCCCAGTTGGCAGTGGGGCTGAGCAGGCGGGCCGGGGGGGCGGGGGCCTGAGCCCAGGGGTCTGCTCGTGCTCCCAGGTCCTGTCCAGGGCAGCTGTGGGGTCCTGGCAGCCGGAACCAGTTGGGGACAGATGGGGAATGCTGGGTGCATGTCTGCCTCCCCTCCAGCCCAGGGCCTTGGGGACAGCCGTTGAGGGCCCCTGTGTGATAGGCGAGGTGGCAGACAGATGGAGGCAGGGGTCTTTCTTTAAGCGTGTCCCAGGGTGCTGTGTACCGGGGCGGACGCTTCCACGCTGCCCTGGTCCTGCCTGATCAGTGCGTTGGAATCAATATTTGTGCAAGTGCTCTCAGCTGGGAAAAATGCAGCCAGCCGCCGACCTGGGGGAGGGACAGAGCTGTCCAGCGGAGGGTGCAGCCTGGTGGCCTCGCTCAGGGAAAGGCGGGGGTGGGTCCCAGGGGAGCTTGGCGGGAACCTTTAATTTCCTTGGGGCCTTTGGTGGGGGCCAAGCTGCTGGCCACCCCCCAAGAGCGGCCTGTGGGCATCTTACACTCATCCAGCCCCCCCACTCCCCGCCCTTCTCCCCCCACCCTTCCTCACAAAGACCCCTCCTGGCATAGGGGCCATTTGAGGTCCTCCCGGGTCTCCCTGGAGCACCTGAGGGTCAGCCAAGGTGCCAGGCTGGGTGTAGGGTCTGTACCCCCAGAGACTGAAGCCCCTCCCTCGATGGGCAGGGCTAAGTGGACGATGACGTCAGAGCCTGGCTGTGGGTAAATAAGCCTGTGCCCCCCCCACCACCCCGGGGAAAGGCGGCTCTTAACTTGAATTGAGCCTGTCTCTGCAAACACCAGGCCTTCTGGGAGGGGCAGGACTCCGAACAGGCGTGTCTCAAGGGCTGGGACCTCTCCCCCACCCCCCATTCTTAGCAGCCTGTGCCCACCTTCCCTCATGGAATCACCATAGCGGCCTCAGGTTGATGGGGGGTGGGGGGCTGACTGTGGGCCTCGGGCAGCCCTGAAGGGGCCCCTTCCCTGTCCTGTGGGGCCCCTATGCTCTGGGCCCAGCCCTGCGGGTCTGGGGCAGCAGGTGCTAGAGTGGACCTGCTCCCAGGTCTGGTGGGGCCCTGCTGAGGGCACAGGGGGCGGCCCGGAGCGTGATGTCACCCCTGAGGCTGGTGCAGAGTTCACTGCCTACCTGGGGGTGCCCTTGGGAGGGGGCCTGGGGTGGGGGCTCCCATCTCAGGCCCCCAAGGGGCATGTCTGCCAGCTCTATCCGCCCTTGTCTGGGGCCCCCCACTCGTCTTGAGCGCCAGGCCCTCCCAGTGCAGACTGGGGGTGTCCTGGGCCCCTCTGCCTTCCCTGCCTGGGTCTCCTTGGAGCCCAAACATACCCTGCACAGAGCCCAGCCTGGACAGTGGCCCTGCCTGCTTTGTTGTTCTCTTGGCTCCGGGGCAGAGGGCTGGGGGAGGGGAGGCGCTGGCTGGCCCTCAGAGCCCCAGGGCCTGGAAACCACCGTCCCTGCCCCCAGCCCACTCCCCGACGGTCATCACGTAGGAGGCTGCGGCTGGGGTGGGTGCCCGGACGCCACCCCTGGACGTGTGTGTGCAGGGGAGCAGCAGACATGCACGGCTGGGCGTGTGAGAGTAGCGCTCTCCGCCTCATCATTGAGGCCCCGGGCTGGGCAGGTGCTTCTGTCCGAACCCACAGGCTGTTCTCCGTGCCTCGGAGCCCTTTCCTGGGAACTGTGGCCCAGGGCTGGGGGGTCTGGGTGCTGATGTGGGGACCCCTTGCCATGTACTACATCCCCAGGGAGCTGGGTGAGGGGTACCTTTGGCAGCGAGACCCCAGCTCCACAACCTGGAAGGGTCCTCCGGCCTCTGGGGGACAGCTGCCTCTTGGAAGGGGCCCTTAATTACCCCTCCCCATGTGTCTGTATAACCAGCACCTCTGAGCGAGCATGGATGGGCCAGTCAGGAGGGCTTCCCTGAGGAGGCGTCCAAAGTGCCCTCTGGAGGCTGTGCCAGATGAGGCTGGGGGGCCAAGGCTCAGACCTGCTAAGTGCAGGGCCAGGGGGCAGTCAACAGAGGAAGGACCCCAGCAAGCCCCCAGGGGCACAAGACATAGGGGCATCCACTGGGATGCTGACCTCTGGTCAGGAAGAGGTGAGAGACAGGCATGAACACGCCCTGGGAGTGAGGTTGTGCTGGGACCAGGGACAGAACAGGTGGTTCTGGGCTGGAGCTTGAGGGGTTCTCGGGGCCTCTGGAGTAGCAGCTTCGCCCTTCCCCCCCGTCCTGGTGCTGCCCTGACGTGCCCAGGGCCCCGTGACGCTCCAGCCTGCAGCTCCCGGGCTGCTGGGGTCTCCCTGGCCCAGCCCCAAGAGGGCTCGTTCCCTGGTCTGTCTAATCCACTGGGGCCTCCTGATGAGGGCAGGGGCCTGTCCCTGGGGCCTCGGTGGCCATGGGCCAGTCAGAGGGAGAGGGGGCAGGTCCTGAGTCAGCCCTGAGAATGATGAGGGGGTGACCAGGGTGGGGCTGGGACAGGGGCCTTGTCTTGGGAGCTGCAAGCTGTTTGAGGAGGCCAGGCTCATGTGGGAGCTGGGGCTGCCATTTGGCCACCTGCCCAGGCCGGCCACCAGACCTTCGGGGACCGTGGAATGAACTCCTGTCTTGGCCAGCCCAGCCTCACTGCCCGGACACTGTGGACAGGCTGCCCCGACGTGCCCCTTCCATCCCAGCCCCTCACAGGCCCGCCTACGGCCTCAGAGCCTGAAGGACCCCTGTGTCTCTGGGGCAGGGATGGAGGGCGGCACCTCCAGGCCCAGGAGGGGAGACATTCAGGAACGGTGTGTTCCCACCCTTTGTCTCTGTGTCCCCGGTGTGGGCCTGAGTGAACTGGGGGGCTGCCCCCTGAGCCGGTTGGCCCCCATAGGCCAAACGCCCAGATGGCCAACGTGGGAAAAGAGAGCCCACCTTACAGGGTGAGGCGGCGCTCCGGGTGTGTGCGCAGGGCCCTGAGCTGAGTGGAGGGGGTCTGGGGGCGTCAACACCTCGCCACCCCCACAGGTCTTCCACGTGGCCTATGTGCTCATCAAGTTCGCCAACTCGCCGCGGCCAGACCTCTGGGTGCTGGAGCGGTCCACGGACTTCGGACACACCTACCAGCCATGGCAGTTCTTCGCGTGTGAGTCTCCTGGCGGGGGCTGGCGGGGGCGCATCCCCTGGGGTGGGCTGCCATCACCAGGCGCTCTCAGGGTCCCCACTCCCGCAAGCGTCGGGTGTCGAGCGTGAGTTCCCAAAGGCAGGTGCATGTCAAGCAGCTCCTGTCCCCGAGGTTGGGCACGGCTGGGCCCAGGGGCTGGTGGCACCAGGAGTCCCTGGTGCCACCTCTTGGCTCCCTCTCGACCGGCTTCGTGGTCCGTCAGCTCCTGAAGTAACAAGGGGAGCCGGTCAGGAGGCACGGCAGCTCCCTAGCCCATCACGTCCAGGGCCTCCATGACCGATCACATTGATGGGGAGCCTCCAGTTGGGTGGACCTTGGTCACGGCTCCCCCAAAACTCCATGGGCAAGAGTGGGGGTAGGGCAGTCCTCTGGAGGGCAGTTGGAAATGGACCCCCAAGGACGGGGATGAGGATGGCCGTCCGGAGCGGGGGGGCACTTGTTCTCTGCAGAGAGAGGGGCAGGTGTGGCGAAGGCCGGGAGGGGTCAGTCCACGAGGCGTGGGCAGGTTCAGAATTGCCAGGCTCTGGGCTCGGCAGGGGTCAGGCTGCACCCCCACCGTGCCCTCCTGGGGAGGCTCCTCTCTCAGCCACGCGCCTCACTCTTTCTTCAACAAAACCCTGTGGGGTTGGCGGGGCGGCCCATCGAGGCGCAGCAGTACTTGCAAGCGATCCTGGGGCCCCGCGCCCTCACCTTCTGGCCCGGTCCCCACAGCCTCCAAGAGGGACTGCTTCGAACGGTTCGGGCCACAGACGCTGGAGCGCATCACGCGGGACGACCACGTCATCTGCTCCACCGAGTACTCGCGGATCGTGCCCCTGGAGAACGGCGAGGTGGGCCCCGGGGTGGCCCGGGGGCCGGTCCCTGCTAGCGTGATGGGGGCGGCCCCCGCCCTGGCCTGACCCTCTGCCCTGTGTGCAGATTGTGGTCTCCCTGGTGAATGGGCGCCCCGGGGCTATGAACTTCTCCTACTCGCCCCTGCTGCGTGACTTCACCAAAGCTACCAACATCCGCCTGCGCTTCCTACGCACCAACACGCTGCTGGGCCACCTCATGGGCAAGGCGCTGCGGGACCCCACCGTCACCCGCCGGGTGAGACGCCGGCCAGTGGGCTGTGGGGCCGGTCGGGCTGGGCCGGGCCGCGGGGCCGTGGCGCTCACCGCCCTCCGCCCCCGGGTACAGTATTATTACAGCATCAAGGACATCAGCATTGGTGGCCGCTGTGTCTGCCACGGCCACGCGGACGTCTGTGACGCCCAAGACCCCACGGACCCCTTCAGGTGAGGCCCGCTGCCCCCTGCCTGCCCTTCTCATCCCCTTCCTAGCTCAGGGAGGAGGAGACCTGGTTCCGTTGCCCACTGTGTCCCTGGTCCTGCGTGACCTCCCCTGGCCTCATTCCGTACGTGCGCAGTGAAGTGAGGGTTGTCTTGCGCCCGGGTCGGACCTCTCTGTGCTGTGGCCAGTGGCCTGTCCCGTCCCCGCCAGGGCCCTGCGCCGGGCAGTGGGGGCCGTCCTTGACCTGAGGCTGCACGTCCCTGTTCTCCAGCTACCTCCCTTCCCTCAGGACGCAGATAGCGCTCCCTGCTGTCCCCGTCTTCTCCCCCGGCGTGGTCCTTGTGCTTCGGGCGCCGAGCTCAGGCGCTGCTCGTTGCTCTGGGAAATTAAGTGCCAAGCGGGAACTCGAGCTGGCCGGGAGGGGAGCCCGCTGGGCGCCAAGCTGGCCTCAGGGGAGAGGCGGGCCTGCCCTTACCTGCTGGGAAGGTGTAGGTATCCACTCTGACTCACCTGTCCATGGGTGTGCCCTGAGCCCGGCTCAGCCTGGGCGTGCGAGGGGTGGGGCGGGCTGGGCAGCTTCCCCGGAACCAGACACCAATACCCCCCCACCGCAGGCACACACCAGTGTCCCAAAGCACCAGCCTGCCCGGCTCTCCCTGCTCCCGTCTCCTGCCGCCTCAGCCTGTCCTCAGGAGGGCTCTGCCCCTTCTCAGCCCCGCACCCCGTCATCTCCGGCCACCACCCCCACCTCTGCCTGCACCACTGTCCCCACTGTCCCCACTGCCATCTCCTCCAAGCCCACCTCATCCTCCTTCCATCACCACCGCCACTTTGCCACCTACCAGCCTAGCTCTGTTCCAAACCCCTCATTCACTCTCCCCCTTTCCTTTGGCTTGGAAGTTATGTGTTTGGTCCAGCTGGGCCGCCATCACAAAATACCGTGGACGAGTGGCTCAGAAACAACAGAAACTTCTCACCGTTCTGGAGGCTAGCGAGGGCCCACGGCTTGGTGTGTCCTCACGTGGCACGGGGGTGAGGGAGCTCTCTGGGGTCCTTTTACAAGGACACTAATCCCACTAATGGGGGCCCCACCTGCAGACCTAATCAAAGGCCCCACCTCCAAATACCATCGCCTCGGGGACTAGGCTTCACACTGTCGGGGGACACACGCGTTCAGCCGGTAGCAGTGCTGTTTAGTGTAACGGTGGCCCTTTGCAGCAGGCGTTCGCGACCAGCTGCCATGTGGCCCTGCTCACGTGGCGCCCGCGAGCACCGGCCCCACGTGTGGCTCTTCTCTCCGGCGGGAGCTCCCTCGCCACTGCCCGGGAGCCGCCTCCTCGTCCGCCCAAGCCCTGGCTCCGCATCCTTCCCTGAATCACCTTGCACCCCTGGGCACTCAGTTTCCTTTCCCTAAGGTGCATCCTTTAGTTGTTCTTCCCGTGAGTCTGTGTCCTTGCCCGATGACCGTTGATGCGGTGGCTGTCTTGGCCTCCCTCTCAGGGGACAGTTTAGCAGGTTGCAGAACTCCGGATGGTGGCCATGCCAACACTTCACAGAAGCCGCTTCCCTGTCGCTTGGCATCCCAGATGGTTGGCAGAGTCCGTGGTCACCTGCATTGCTGCCCCTCTGGCTTGTCTGCTCCTTCTGGAGGGTTCCATGACCTTCCCCTGGTGCTCTGCAGATTTCCTCTGTGGCGTCAAGGAGCGGACATGTCTTCTGTGGCTCAGGACTCCTGCCTTTTGAATCTGAGAGTGTGGGTCATTAATTCAGGACCAGTCCTGGCCAGCAGCTCTGCCTGTCAGCTCTCCTCTTCTACCTCTTTTTTCTTTCCGGAATCCCGTTCCGTAGATGGGCTCTTCCTGTGGTTTCCTTCTGTCTCCGAGTTTCTCCTGTGACCCCCTCCCTGTCTTCTGAGCTGCCTCTGGGTCGGTACTTCGGTCCACCGAATCTCCAGCTGAGCATCGCCTGTCTGCTGTCTTCAACTCCAGTGATTTTGTTTTCCATTTATAGAAGTTCCGATTGGTTCTTTGGCCACGTCTCCCTATTTTTCATAGCATCGCATTTTTTACGTTTTGGGTTCCTTCTGTTATAACTTCAAACGTTCTTATTTTATGGTTTCTACCGACTTGCTCCCAAGTTCTTGCAGTTGGATCCTGCTGACCATTGTGTTGATGGGCCGGCCGCATTGTGCCCTCCCTGGTTCTTCAGTGGCGGCTCCTCTGTGCCCTGGTTGGGGACGGTCACACCCGAGTGGTTTGGTGAGGGCCTTCGCCAAACACCCCGGGGTACCACCGCCGGGCTCCGCTTCCTGTGTTGTTCCTTGGTGCCCTGACTATGCGACTGTGGCGGAGCCAGACGCCAGCCGCGGGCCCGACGTCACAGACCGTCAGAGCTGGGGCCAAGACAGGCTGCTCGGGCCGCCGCTCCGGGGCAGGCCGCTCCTGCTTCCTCTCCCCCAGAGGCCTCCTAGATAGCCCCAGGCCCCCAGGGCAGCAGTGTTGATTCTCAAGGCCCCCGCAGACACTTGGTTGGGGGGGGACAGGCTCTAACCGTGTGGTCTGAGGCCCACAGAGCAGGCAGCGCCCCCCCTTGGCTGAGTTCTGGAGGTGTGTGTCGGGTGGGGCCCTGGGAGGGTGGGTCTGAGCGGTAGGTGGCTGTGGCCAGCTCTCCCCCTGACCACTGAGCCAACGGGAGCTGCTCTCCGGGACGGCAAGCAGGACTCCAGCCCTCCGACTGGTATCCACCCCCGCTGGAAGAGGAAACAGCTCCTGGCCCCTCGCCCCTGGGGAGGCGCCCTGGATGCATGGGGGCGTCTGGCAGAGCTCACACTGCTGAGTGAGACCTGGGCCTTGGAGCTGGCCCAGGGAGGCTGTGGGCTTGGCCTGAGGGCCTGGCCATGGTGAGGAGGGGTTAGCTCGATCCTGAAGGCCCCGGAGCTCCACACTGCCCTGTAGGCAGGGGCCACCTACACTCACCACGCAGTGCCCCGTCCCAGGCCCCACCCACCAACACATCCTGTCCCCTCCTCCCCCCCTCCATGAAGGCTGGGGCGCAGCCCCTTGTGTCCCCCGGGTCCACAGTGTGGCCCCTCCCGTCCCCGTGTCCCCACAGGCTTCAGTGCGCCTGTCAACACAACACGTGTGGGGGCTCCTGTGACCGCTGCTGTCCCGGCTTCAACCAGCGGCCGTGGAAGCCGGCCACCACCGACAGTGCCAACGAGTGCCAGTGTGAGTGCCCAGCACGTGCACACCTGCACACATGCTCACCTGCTCACCTACACACACACACACACCTGCTCACTTGCTCACCTGCACACCCACTTATCTGCACACACATCTGCTCACCCGCTCATCTGTTCACCTACACACACTCACCTGCTCACCTGCACACCCACTCACTTGCTCACCTGCTCACCTGCACACACACTCACCTGCATACCTGCTCATCCGCTCGCCTGAACACACACCCACTCACCTGCTCACATGCCCACCCGCTCACCTGCTCACCTGCTCACACACACGCCTGCTCACATGCTCACCTGCTCACCCTCACGCCGGCCCACCTGCACACACACTCACCCAGCTTTGCCGTGGCCTGAGGCATGCTCCGGCCACGTGGTGTGTGCTGTCACCCAGACCAGGCCACATCTGGGGTCACCGGTGGTTTGTGAGGCGGGGTCATGGGGGGCCTGTGAATAGCTGTGCCCTCTTCTCTCCAGCCTGCAATTGCCACGGCCATGCCCACGACTGCTTCTACGACCCTGAGGTGGACCGGCACAATGCCAGCCAGAACCAGGACAACATCTACCAGGGCGGGGGCGTGTGCATCGACTGCCAGGTGGGACGGGGCTGGGCCAGCCCGTGGCGGCAGCTAGGGCGGGTCTGGGGCACTGGGGTGGTGGGCTGCCCCCCCCCGCATGGTCGGCATACCCAGGGTTGGGGTGGGGGGAGAGAGGGGGGTGGGAGGGTCCCTGCACTCAGTGGCCCCGTCCTGCCCCAGCATCACACCACCGGCATCAACTGTGAACGCTGCCTGCCCGGCTTCTTCCGGGCCCCGGACCATCCTCTCGACTCTCCCCACGCTTGTCGCCGTGAGTGGGGTTGGCCTGGGGTGGGGGGGGCCTCCAGGGGAAAGGGTGTCCAGAGGGGGGCCCTCGCACTGCTCTGGGAGGCCCGGCCTGGCTCTCCTCCCCCTGCCCCGCCGGGGAGGCAGCTGGGCCCCAGGCTTGGGGTCTCACGACTCCCTGGCCCCCACCCAGGCTGCAACTGCGAGTCGGACTTCACAGACGGGACGTGTGAGGACCTGACCGGCCACTGCTACTGCCGGCCCAACTTCACGGGGGAGCGTTGCGACGCGTGCGCCGAGGGCTTCACTGGCTTCCCGCGCTGCTACCGTGAGGGCGTCAGCCTGGGGGGCCGGGGGCAGAGCTGGGGCGCTGTCCCCGGAGCCCTGTGGGGGACCCAGGGTGGGGACCCCGGGTGGAGCCTGCCTACGCCCAGAGGTCCTGCCTACCTATCCGGTGGCGCTGAGCCGACCCGGCTGACCCGTGCTGTCTCCCCCCCTCAGCGGTGCCCTCCTTCTCCCCCAATGACACCAGCGAGCAGGTGCTGCCAGCCGGACAGATTGTGAGTAAGTGTCCTCCGAGGCCCCGTCCTGCCCCCCAAGAGCGGGATTGTCACTGTGGTCGCCTCCTGTTCGGCCCTTGTGTTTTTATGCAAATAATGCATTTTCGAGCTAAGAAACCTTCAGGAGTGTAGGTAAGCCCAAAGCAGAACGAAGGTACCCAGAGTTGCATCACTTTCAAACGACCCCTCTCCCCACAGCTGGGACCCTCCCGGGTGCTGGTGCGGACTCGATGTGTGCGGTGGGCACTGCTCTGGGTTTCCTCCCACTGCGGTCCTGTAAGCGTGCCACCTCATGTTCTCTGTCATCAGACAGATGCAGTATTTCTTCAGTCAACCCCCAAATTGTTGGAAATTTAAGTTCTTTCCAATTAAAAAAAAATGCTACAGTAAACATCCTTGCAGCTAAAACTTTCCATAAATTCTCAATAATTTCTGTAGAACAATTTCCTAGAAGGTTCTGAGTCACGAGACTCGCCTGTTCTGGGACCTATTTGGCTGTAGGTCGCCAGATCGCTCTCTTAAAAGAAACCATGTTCCGCGTTGTGGCGTTGGCATCCGCGGGCGCGAACGGTCCTCGCTGGACGGCGGGCACTGCTTGCGATTGTCAGCTCGCCCGGCGGGACGCTCACCCAGCAGAGACCGCCTGCGCCCGCGTGTTTCTGGAATCGGGCGCGCCTCGGGACGGTGTGTCAGTCTGACCGGCCGGCGGTTTTTCTTCCTGACGGCATCACGTGGCGAGCACGGCTGCTGGCGGTGTCTCGGCTAGATCGCATTTGACATTTGTCGTCTGCAGCGCGTCTTTGACCCGTCTGTGAGGTGACTTTGCACTTGCTTTCCCGGGGAGCGTGTCATCCGGGGTCTTTGCTCTCCGCACAGCCGCCTCTGCCCGCAGGGCCCTTTGCCCTGTGTCTCCGGGCTCTTCTTTCCTGTGCTGGCGTGTGAACCCTTAGGTGGTTCTGTGGACGTGGTCCTTGCCTCTGACTCACCGCCGACTCAGTCGTTTGGAGGCGGCACGCCCTAAGCTCACTTACCCTCATGCCTGTTGGTCTTTGACGGTTTCTTCTTTATGCGTCGGTGTCAGGTTTTCATCGGCGCTGTAAACGGGGGTCGGCAGACTTCTTCCAGGAAGGACCAGACAGTGCTTGCTTGCTTTCGACTGTGAGGGCCGGGTGTCCTGCTGTGCGTGGCTCTTGAGCTCCGCTGTCACGTGCTGCAGCTGGAACGTGGCATCGACCGTGTGGATGTGAATGGGCCTGGCCGTGTTCCAATAAAACTTTATTTGCAGACCAGCCAGAGCAGCCCTGAGACTGTGGTTTGCTGGTGCCCAGCGGAAGTGCTGAGGAGCCCTGCTGTCCCCGCGGCCCAGGGCCGGCGCCCCGGAACGGCCCATGCCAGTGGGGGTTCAGTGCAAACAGTGAATCCTATTCGTGTCTCTCCTAACGTACACCTGTGTGTCTGTATCCGTAAGGAGGACTAGTTGAAAGCTTCCTTGGTCGTTGTTGTTTTTGGGTGTGTGTGCCATCTTGCTTTGGTTTTCTTTTTTTTTTTTAATGTTTTATTTATTTATTCATGAAAGTCAGAGAGAGAGAGAGAGGCAGAGGCAGAGGGAGAAGCAGGCTCCCCGCCTAGCAGGGAGCCCGATGCGGGACTCGATCCCAGGACCCTGGGATCATGACCTGAGCCGAAGGCAGACGCTTAACGACTGAGCCACCCAGGCGCCCCTTGCTTTAGTTTTCTAATTCACCTTGAGAATACCTGGAAAATGACCCATACTTGGTTATGCTCCACAGTGGGCTAAAAATCACAGGAATCACCCATTTCTTAAAAGTTTGATAGAACTTATAAGGATGCCTGGACCTGACACCTGTTCAGTGGAGATCTTAGATTATGGTTCTCGTTTCTTCCGTGGTTCTTGTATCTGTTCGTTTCCCACCTCAGCGTAAGTCCATTTTAGTCATTTTTATTTCTTAGCAAATTGTGTCCTTTGGATTTTAAAATGTATTGGTATAAAAATCACGTGCAGCATTCCATCGTGATTTGTACATTTCATTTCTCTTACTAGTTTAATTTCTTTTATTTCCTTCATTTATTAGATGTATCAGAAATTTGCTGAATTTATTGGTGTTTTCAAAATACAGCTTAAGATTCTACCTATAAGATCTGCTGGGGTTGGGGCGCCTGGGTGGCTCAGTTGGTTAAGCGACTGCCTTCGGCTCAGGTCATGATCCGGAGTTCCGGGATCGAGTCCCGCATCGGGCTCCCTGCTCGGCAGGGAGTCTGCTTCTCCCTCTGCCCCTCCCCCCTCTCATGTGCTCTCTCTCTCTCAAAAAAAAAATAAATAAAATCTTTATTAAAAAAAAAAAGATCTGCTGGGGTTTTTCTCTTTTCAGTTTGGGGGAGAGATTTAACTTCCTTTTTTTTTAAGATTTTATTTTATTTTATTTTATTTATTTATTTGAGAGAGACAGCACGCGTGACGAGTGGGGAGAGGGGCAGAGAGACCGGGAGAGGTGGACTCCCCGCTGAGCAGGGAGCCCAACGCGGGGCTCGATCCTGGGACCATGAGATCATGACCTGAGCCGAAGGCAGACACTTCATCGATTGGGCCCCCCAGGCACCCCTGCAGTCCGCTGTGATTACGCACAGCCTCCACGCTGGCCCTCAAGGCCCCACACCTTACTCGCTTTATGCCTGGAAGTCTGCGCCTTCCCCGTGTCTCCCACCCCCAGCCCGGCAGCCACCGTGTTCTCTGTTTCCGTGAGCTCAGTGTTCCGTTTTTGTGCTAGATTCCACATAGAAGTGAGATCACTTGGTGTTTGTGTCTTTTCTTTGTTTTGCTTCATTGCTGCTCTCCTGGCTTCTTGGATTTATTAGTTTCACTTTCTTAATTATTGACAAACAGGAGTGGAGTGCTGGTTCTCAATCAGGGGTGATCCTGATCCACAGGAGAGTGTCTGGAGACAGTTGGGGTTGTGACGACTGAGGGGTGCCACGGGCACGTCGTGGGGGGGCCGGGCACGACCCAGCCCAGAGCACCAGCAGCGGCGCCCAGGCCGGGGGACCCCGGGTTGCGGCTCAGCTGTGCTGTCCCCGAGGGCGAGGGAGCCCCGGCCGGCGCCTCCCACGGGGTGGTTAGATGGCCTTTCTGTCCTTGTTTGATGGCTCAGTCCTAGTTTCATTGCGTTGGGGTCAGATAGGGTCTTTGGAATTTGAGATTTTCTTTGCTTCTCACCTCGTACGTGACGCCTTTTAGAATGTTCCGTGAATGTGTGGCGGGCCCGCGTGTGCTGTGTGGGATACAGATCGCCATGTGTATGCCCACAAAGCACACACGTTCATTATGCCGTTTAAATCCACGCCGTCCCTGCTCCATCCTCATCAGGTTCTGAGGACAGTGTCTTCAATCTTTCTATGCAGGGTGATGGTTTTGCCAGATCCTTCCAGCTCAGGAGTTTCGGCCTTTAGCACCTCTCGACCCCTTGGTCCTGCTTTTACAGCAAGGGGCTTCCTGCAGACCCAGGGGGCGAGCCCCCCTTCCACACAGCAGCTCCCCATCGTCCTGCTGATGCTTGTGGCCTAGGGTTCTCCAGAACCTTCTGGGGTCTCCATGCTCACCTTCTCTGCACCTTGCTGTCCCTTCATGAAGCTCTCTGTGGCCCGTCTGGGTCCTTGGTTCAAAGTGCATCTTTTCAAGAGAACATGACAAGATTTTCCTTTCCAAACTGAGGCCTCTGGTTCTGTGTTGTGAGAGGAGCCGTGGCCCGGGCAGGGCTGTGGCCATCAGGTGGGGCTCGCTCCTGTTCTTTCTGTCTCATTTCTCCTTCTCCTGAGGTGTTTCCTGCCTGCGTCTTGCTGGGTTGGACAACAGACTGTGCTTTGGTTTTGGATGATTTGTGTTTCCTTCTTGGAGGGTTGGCAAGCTCTGTTTCTCTCTTCTGGTCCAGCCCCAGGTCACCCTTTGTCTTTGACAAATGTCAAACCATGATTTTCTGGGGCTCCTGGGTGGCTCAGTCAGTTAAACGTCTGCCTTTGGCTCAGGTCATGATCCCAGGGTCCTGGGATCAAGTCCCGCATCGGGTTCCCTGCTCAGCAGGGAGTCTGCTTCTCCCTCTCCCTCTGCCCCTCCTCACGGGGCTTGTGCTTGCGTGCGCTCTCTCTCTTTTTTTTTAAAAGATTTTATTTTATTATTTTTTGACAGAGAGAGACACAGTGAGAGAGGGAACACAAGCAGGGGGAGTGGGAGAGGGAGAAGCAGGCTCCCGGCCAAGCAGGGAGCCCGATGCGGGGCTCGACCCCCCAGGACCCTGGATCATGACCTGAGCCGAAGGCAGATGCTTAACGACTGAGCCACCCAGGCGCCCCTCTCTCTCTTAAATAGATAAAATTTAAAAAAAAAACCATACTTTTCTATAAGTAACGAACAGTATTCATGACCTCTTTTCATGCGTAAGTTAAGACATTTAGCACACTTCCGCTCCTGTTTTCCAAGCTGCAGAATTATTTATAAAGATTATGAGTCTCTTTTTGCTTTGTTATGATTTTGTTTTTACATTTTCTCCGGTTGTATCAACGCCTGCAGTTGACTTAGTAGCCACATCATAAACAACTACTCGTAGTTTTAGCCGCCCCGGTTTCATTGCACACACTTTTCCAGAGACGTCGGCTCTGCCTTCTGGGGTTTTTGTCTTTTAGCTCTGTATGAGCGCAGCATAGAAGTGTAAGGAAGCGAGTCTGCGGTGGGCAGGGTTTCTGGCGGGAGGGCTGGGGTCTGCAGGCGTCTGAAACCCCCCTCCCTGCCCCCAGACTGTGACTGCAGCGCGGCCGGGACCCAGGGCAACGCCTGCCGCAAGGACCCGCGGCTGGGACGCTGCGTGTGCAAACCCGGCTTCCAGGGCGCCCACTGTGAGCTCTGTGCCCCAGGCTTCTATGGCCCCGGCTGCCAGCGTGAGTGCAGCCCCGACCCCGTCCTCGCGCCCACCCCGGGCACCCATGCCCCCTGCGACTGAGCACGCATCCCTTCCCGCAGCGTGCGAGTGCTCCAGCCCTGGAGTGGTGGACGGGGACTGTGACCGAGACTCCGGCCGGTGCACCTGCCGGGAGGGCTTCGAGGGGCCCGCGTGTGACCGCTGTGCCCCGGGTTACTACCACTTCCCTCTCTGCCAGTGTGAGCGAGGCCTCCCCGCGGGCGTGGGTGGGCGGGCGTGGGGCCCGGGGCGCGGCCCGCCTGGCTCAGGGGGCCCTGTGTGCTGCCTCGCTCCCTAGTGTGCAGCTGCAGCCCTGCAGGGACCCTGCCCGAGGGCTGCGACGAAGCTGGTCACTGCCCGTGCCGGCCCGAGTTTGACGGCCCTCACTGTGACCGCTGCCGTCCGGGCCACCACGGCTACCCCGAGTGCCGCGGTGAGCAGAGGGCCGGGGCGGGGAGCAGGAGGGCCCGCCCCAAGTGCCCAGGGCCTGACCCCGTGTCACCCGCAGCCTGCACCTGCGACCCCCGCGGCGCCCTGGACCAGCTCTGCGGGGCAGGCGGG